CCAAGGACAAACGCATTACAATGAAACCAGCCGACAAGAGAGGAACCACGGCGCTTATGGACACGCAGGATTACACCTCTGACAAAGGCGGGGAGTCTGTCACCGAAACATGTCAGGTAATTAAGCAGTACTAGCTTCTGTACAGCGTTCTCTCCTATTAAAACAACCTTATACGCAAGATTGTTTGACCACTGAGAGACTGTCCCTTCCTCCCGCACACTTGACCATATTAAAATCATAAATATGTTAGAATATAGGCCGTGTTCCTTTTCCACGCTCGCCCCTTTATGTTCAGCTACACGTATGTCCGACCATCTATAATTGATGACGCTGGGGAAGCATCAAAGCGGGTCTTTGTGAAGCCAGGTGAAGATATGTGACTGAAATATACATGTATCGTCCAGCCTTCTAAACTGGCTCGGAATCTCATCTCCCCCGTCGTATTGAAAGCCCCAAGAGATGAGTTTGAAGGAATGCATTCTCGTGGTGCTCCAACAGCTGCCTGGACTTCCTCATTTCCTCAAAAATTGGAGCGTAAGCCTTTCCTCAAGTATTCTTCCTCCTCTCGAGCGTTTGTGAGTAAAAGATGTGGCAGGTGTTTGCAGCCGGGGGTCTTATGGGGAAAGCATGATATAATTTCTCTCTGTCTCTCTCGGTCTCTCTCGGTCTCTCTCGGTCTCTCTCGGTCTCTCTCGGTCTCTCTCGGTCTCTCCCGGTCTCTCCCGGTCTCTCTCGGTCTCTCTCGGTCTCTCTCGGTCTCTCTCGGTCTCTCTCGGTCTCTCTCGGTCTCTCTCGGTCTCTCTCGGTCTCTCTCGGTCTCTCCCGGTCTCTCCCGGTCTCTCTCGGTCTCTCTCTCTCTCCACCTCTGTCTATCTCTCTCTCTCTCTGTTTCTCGCTGTCACTTTGTTTCTCTCTCTCTCTCTGTTTCTCTCTGTCACTTTGTTTCTCTGTGTTTCTCTCCGTCTCTCCTGGTCTCTCCCGGTCTCTCCCGGTCTCTCCCGGTCTCTCCCGGTCTCTCCCGGTCTCTCCCGGTCTCTCCCGGTCTCTCCCGGTCTCTCTCGGTCTCTCTCGGTCTCTCTCGGTCTCTCTCGGTCTCTCTCGGTCTCTCTCGGTCTCTCCCGGTCTCTCCCGGTCTCTCTCGGTCTCTCTCTCTCTCCACCTCTGTCTATCTCTCTCTCTCTCTGTTTCTCGCTGTCACTTTGTTTCTCTCTCTCTCTCTGTTTCTCTCTGTCACTTTGTTTCTCTGTGTTTCTCTCCGTCTCTCCTGGTCTCTCCCGGTCTCTCTCGGTCTCTCTCGGTCTCTCTCGGTCTCTCTCGCTCTCTTGGTCTCTCTCAGTCCCTCTTGCTCTCTCCGTCTTTCTTGGTCTCTCTCTCTCTGTCTCTATCGGTCTCTACCTCTGTCTCTCTCTCTCCTCTCTCTCTCTCCTCTCTCTCTCCTCTCTCTCCCCTCTCTCTCTGTTTTCTCCCTCGTCTCAAGCATTTATGAGTTAACTACTAAAAGCTGTGGCAGGTGTTTGCAGCCTGGGGTCTTATGGGAAAAGCCTGAATGTAATTATAGCATCTGTATACAGTATTTCAAATCAGTATTTCAACCACTGCAACTAGACACATGTCATTCAATCACACGTTTATTTCTAGTTTCGGAAGGACACTCCACGTCCAATGACATCTGCGGACTTTATCAACATTTATGGATATTGGCCTCTGCCCCTTCTGGACCAATGGCTCTGTTTTTCTCTTTTTTATCACTGCGTTTCTTGTGTTTGAACTTTTTGATTCTCTGATCCGTGTCCTCTGAGATAACTACTGTTCTGATTTATTGAATTGTGATTTTATTGAAATGAATGGAATGGAAACGTTCATCGTGTCTTCTCAGTAGTCTAAAGTTAATTGTTTTTTCTAAAACAGACAAGACAGAGATGTTGTCATTTTGACCTGTTTCGACGGTATACTTCTGGCTTCTTCAGAAACGCCTTGAAATCGCTATCTTACAATCGTCTGGTATAGAAGAACCAAAAAACTTTACTTTTTACTTCTGATTTACATACAGGGATTAGGGATAGAACAATGCGACCCTGGTATCAGATATCATGTTGATACTGTAAACACTTTTTAATCAGGTTTAGGTTTAATGATGTCTAGATTCATTAGAGCAGCCATTCCCAAAGTCAGTAACACTGCGGCCCCCTTAAAAATCTGACTGATCAAATAGGCTCTTCTCGTTATTTTAATTGGGGGAAATAGCCTCTGCTACAAACATGTAAATGACGCACCCTAATACAAAAATGATTACAATTTGTTTATTTAAGTCAAATAATGAACACAAATATTTTAATTTTACAAACAAAATATGATTGATCTAACATACAATATTTATATGAAAATAAAAATAAATGTATGACCTCTTGCGGCCCCCCTGCAATACCCAGGGGGGGACTGCGGACCCCACTTTGGGAGACACTGCATTAGAGAAAAAAACCGATTGGAATAGTAAGTAAAATGGGTTGTCTTGCACCTACCCATAATTCATACTAAATAAACTCTTAGAACTAAGTGATATAAAAGTTGAAATGTTAGAGATTCTTTAGAGGGTAATAAACAACAAAATCCCAAAGTGTATTCTTGCTTCTTAAGTTAAGTTATAGTCTCAAAAGTGTATTTATTTTTGACAGCGCTAAAGCAAGAAATCAAAAGAGAAGGTATGGAATGAATTACGAGCGGATTTAAAAACTAAAATTTTAACTTTGGTATTCATTTTATCAAAAGGAACGAAGACACTTTTGCATGGCGCCGTAAAGATGGCGCCGTGGCAAGAGCTCTGGTGTGTGCCGCCTGGCACACACTGGGGTAGTCTTGCAAAGTTTTTCCAATGTGGTTTTACTGCAAATGGCAAATAAATGAATCTGAATCTGAATCTGTGACACACAAGTCCAGGGCAACAACAACCAACACACATTTTGAAACATCAATATTCTCCATGTTCCTGCCCATCTCTAGATTTGATTTTCCCCCCAAAAATCACCGAGCATAAAAGAAAAAGTTTTTTTTATATTTCTGCACAAAACGACCGACTTCATCGATAAAAGCCGTGTTTTGCGTGTCTTCGCTTCGACGAAGGGATGGGTTGGTGTGGTGCACAAACATCTGGACATGTCCTCGGAGAAACAGTGGGTAATTACACTGTGTCTCGTTGTTGGCTTCATAAACAGGATGTTGGGAGTAAACACTGACGCACACTCGCAGTTTTCAGATAAAAAACAAAGCTCTCTGTAACAACTCCGAGAACCAGAAGCTGCCTGAGGTTATTTGGGTAATGAGGGCTCACTTTGGCCCGTTCATTTCCGACGTGCGCGTAATTGCCCTGGAGTCTCTCTCTCTCTCTCTCTCTCTCGCTCTGTCCATCTCTGACTCTCTCTTTGTGTGTTTCTGTCACTCTCTGTCTCTCTCTCTCTCTGTGTGTTTCTCTCTCTCTCTCTCTCTCTCTGTCCATCTCTGTCTCTCTCTTTGTGTGTTTCTGTCACTCTCTGTTTCTCTTTCTGTGTGTTTTTCTCTCTCTCTCTCTCTCTCTGTGTGTTTCTGTCACTCTCTGTCTCTCTCTCTCTCTCTCTCTCTCTGTATTCATCTGTCTCTGTGTGTTTCTGTCTCTCTCTCTCTCTCTGTCTTTCTTTGTCTCTCTCTCTCTGTCTCTGTCTCTCTTTTGCTCTCTCTCAGTATCAATCTCTCTGTGTGTCTATCACTGTCTCTCTCTCTCTGTAACTCTCTCTCTCACTGTCTCAGTCTCTCTCAGTCTCTGTGTCTTTCTCTTCCTGTATCTGTCTGTCACTGCCCCCCCTTCTCTCTCTCTCTCATTATCTGTATATCGCTGTCCCTCTCTCTCTCCATCTTTCTCTGTCTCTTCCTCTCTCTCTCTGTTGCTCTCTCTTAGTATCAATCTCTCTCTCTCTCTCTCTCTCTGTCTACACTGTCTCTCTCTCTCTCTCAGTCTCTCACGCTGCCTCAGTCTCTCTGTGTCTCTCTCTTCCTGTCTCTCTCTCTGTCTATCACTGTCTCTATCTTTCTATCTTTCTCTCTCTGTTTATCATTGTCCCTCTCTCTCTCTCCATCTTTCTGTCTCTTCCTATCTCTCTTCTCTCTCTGTTGCTCTCGCTCAGTATCAGCCTCTCTCTCTATCACTGTCTCTCTCTGTCTGTCACTCTCTCTGTCTAGTCTCTCACTCTGTCTCAGTCTCTATCTCTGTCACTCTCACTGTCTCTCTCGCACTCTCCATCTCTCCCTCTGTTTCTATCCAGCTCTCTGTCTTTCTCTCTCTCTCTCTCTCTTTCTCTCCCTTTTCGTTTGTTTTTTACAATCTTTTGGTCCCAATTACGAGGCTGATCATCTGTAACCTTTCCTAATGTGGGCCAACTCTGCCATGATGTGAACAGGGAGAAACCATGACCATCTGATGCAGCTGCTGTATGCCCAAAAAGCAAGAAAGGACGGAAGGAAGGAAGGAAGGGACAAGGGAGGAATGGATTTGGGAATAAATAAAACAGAAAGCTGCAACAAGGAAATGTGTGAGAAGACTGCAGATTCCAGAGTTTTTGGACAATGGCAGTTTTTTGGAGCGGCTGATTTGTGAGATATGAAATTGAGTGATTACTAATTTGGACGAGATCAAGTGGTCGGCAATGAATACTAAGACTTGTTTAATTCATAATAAATCATTTGAGCCAGCTTCAGTCTGACCTTTGATAGAATGATTTTGATTCAGCTGAGCGTCTGGGAGATTTTCCTCATATTGATTGTTCTCAATTTCCAATTCAAATGTGGTTTTTCCTGTTTAGATATTATGATATATACAGCACTTGCACATGTACAGTAGTATATATGATTTGAGTGATTAATTATGTCTGGAGCAAAGAAAGGGTGGGAAAGCAGCTGACCTCAGACCCCTCTCACACTGGGAGCCTCTCCTTTGGGTCATCCATGAGACTAGAGGATGTTGACACTGGTCTTACCCTGCAATAGTCATCAATGAAGCGGAGTCTCTTCATGGCCACATCCCGGACATGACTTCTGCGAAACAAGATTTTGCCTGTGGAAAAATAAGATAAAAACAAAATGAGTGAGTAGAGAAAGCACACATGGTTTTAAAATAATCCAATTCAATTCAATCCAATTTCTTCTTGTGTAGTCCTAAATCACAACAGTGGTTATCTCGGAGGACTTTGCAAAATCCATAGTATGCCTTCTGCAGTTACATATATACACACACAGACATACAGAGATACACATGTATATTTACATACATACTATACACACATAAATACATACACACACAGACACACACACATGCATACACACACACACACACACACACACACACACATGCACACAGACATACAGTGATACATGTATATATATTTATACATACATACTATACACACACAAACATACACACACAGACACACACACATGCACACAGACATACAGAGATATATACTGTACTTAACAACTATCGTCCCATCTCAAATCTGCCATTTATGGGGAAAGTTCTTGAAAAAGTTGTCTACCTACAGCTTACTAGATTTCTTATAATCAACAACTCATTTGATATGTTTCAGTCCGGCTTTAGACCCCACCACAGCACTGAGACTGCTCTTGTCAAGGTTACAAACGATATCCGGCTGAACACTGACGCAGGCAAAGTCTCAATCGTAATCTTGTTAGATCTGAGTGCTGCCTTTGACACCGTCGACCATGAGATCCTCTTACAGAGATTAGAGGACTGGGTTGGCGTCGCTGGCACCGCCCTAAGTTGGTTTAGGTCTTACCTTGAAGACAGGAAGTACTTTGTGGAGATTGGAAACTGTGTCTCAGATCATATGGCCCTGACCTGTGGAGTACCACAGGGGTCGATCCTGGGACCTCTTCTGTTCAATCTCTACATGCTGCCGTTAGGTCAGTTAATACGCAGAAACAAAGTTTCCTATCATAACTATGCAGACGACACTCAGATCTATGTCTCACAGACTGCAGGAGAACATGGACCAGTGGACTCACTCCTTCACTGTATCCAACAGATCAGTGGGTGGATGCAAAACAACTGCCTTCGGCTAAACGCAGACAAAACTGAAATGATTGTCTTTGGTCCCCAGAAACAAAGAGAGAGCGTCATCTGTCACCTACAGTCTCTCTCCCTAAAACCTTCAAACAAGGTCAGAAATCTAGGGGTAATACTGGACTCAGACTTAAATTGTAATAGCCACATCAAATCAGTAACATCAGCAGCTTTTTACCATCTAAAAAACATTGCCAGGATCAAAAACATAGTGTCTAAAGCAGACTTGGAGATTCTTATCCATGCATTTGTCTCCAGTAGGTTAGACTACTGCAATGGCCTGCTCACAGGTCTGTCCAAACAGGCTGTAAAACAGCTGCAGTACATTCAAAATGCAGCAGCTCGAGTCCTGACTAGAACCAGGAAGTACGACCACATTAGTCCGGTCCTCAGGTCTCTGCACTGGCTTCCTGTGGCTCAGAGAATAGACTTTAAAACAGCTCTGCTTGTTAACAAGTCTCTCCATGGCCTCGCACCAAAATATATTAGTGACATTTTAGTCCCATATGAACCAGCCCGGACTCTGAGGAGCACAGGGACTGGACTCCTGTTAGTGCCCAGAGTCAGAACTAAACATGGGGAGGCTGCTTTTCAGATTCATGCTGCTAAAATCTGGAACAGTCTTCCTGAAGATGTGAGACAGGCCTCCTCTCTGACAATGTTTAAAACCAGGTTAAAAACAGTTCTGTTTAGATGTGCATACAACTGAGGGATTTTATATTTTTATGTTTCTTTTTAATGTTCTGTGATTATTTATGATATTAATGCTTTCTTGTTTTGTTCAGCACTTTGAGTTGCCTTGTGTATGAATTGTGGTATACAAATAAACTTGCCTTGCCTTGCCTTGCCTATATATATACATACATACTATACACACATAAATACATACACACACAGACACACACACACATACATACAACCATACACACACACACACACACACACACACACACACATGCACACAGACATACAGAGATACATATATATTTATACATACGTATATACTACACACACACATACATACATACATACGTACTATACACGCACACACACAAACAAACACAGACATACATATATTTATTTATATATGCATACTATACACACACATATACATACACACATACTGTACATACATACAAACGCACACATGCATACACACACAGACAAACAGAGATACATATATATATATATATATATATATATATATATATATATATATATATATATATATATATATATATATATATATATATATATATATATATATATATATATATATATACATACCTACTATACACACAAAAATACACACAGATATACATACATACATACATACGCACACAGACATACAAAGATACATACATATATTTATACATACGTACATACTATACAAACACATACACACACACACACACACACACACATACATATACAAATACATATTAATAAGTAAAACTAAATCAAAACATCCAATCAGTATTACAGTTGTTACTCATCATATCATCATCATCATCATCATCCCCATATTCATAATCTACATATTATTCTGAAAACTGAAGCTTAAAAGGAGCATTCTGAACACACGCATGCATTGAAAAACTAGTCTTGACTAAAATGGAAACACTAGTATCGATAAGTTTGATGAACCCTGGCGTCAGTACCCAAAGCCTCCAGCAGATGTCAGGACCATGCACCGCACCAGGGCAACACAAGGCCCCAGCTGTCCGCTTATAGATTCTTTGACCTCTGCTGTTACATGGCTTTCTAAATAACAAACAGCATTGGAGCACAGAGACCACACATTGTAGACACTGAAAAGTTTGGCGCATTTTAGTCCCATACAAATAACATGTCCTTTTCTTGAGCAAATTCTCTATTCACTATATTTTTGCTATTGGCACTACATTTTATTTTGTGGCTATTTGAACCAAATGTGTTTAATAATTGTTAAGGAACTATTCTTATATATTGCTTCATTAGGCTAAAGCGAATCTCTTTATTACGCTAAAGTTAGAGATTGTATTTTATTTTAGTATAGAGTTATTGTTCAATTATCTTGTGCCGTGTGGTCCTCATTCCAACTGTTCTGTAACCGGTGATGCAACACTGACATTTCCCCACTGTGGGACGAATAAAGCATCTCTTAATCTTAATGTATTTAGATATACAGTTAATACTATATGGACGTTTCTTTCACAGGGAATAACTGTTGCCCAACTGTTACCGTGCAAGACACCAAAACTACCTGTTTGTGTGTGTGTGTTGTAACTCAAAAAGTAAAAGAATAGGTCTGAATAACACCACACTTCTTGTTGTTTGTGAATTATGAAAACCCAATGCAACAAAAACACATATCGTCATAATTTGCAAGTCGATAAATAATTGGAATCTTGCTAAATGGAGCAAAGCATTTTATAATTAAAATATGGGACAAACAACTTGTTAAACGTAAATAAAGAAAAGCAAATAATCTAATTTTAGAATAGAGTATGTTCTAAATCATTAATAAAATATAACTTACTTTGCATTTAAAATTGGATCTGGGAGGTTAACAGACTTGGACTTGGATATACACAATATTATTTAGCCTTTTAACCAAAATAAAACCAGCAAAAAACATTAATGCAGCTGTCTGTCTACAAATCGTAAAGGATTATACGTCCATGTCCACATTGGCCACGTCAGGTTCTTTAGTAAAAGTAATGAACAACATATGAACGTGTGAATCTGGGGAGACACAGCAGGCTTCACATGAATCCACACGCCAACTCGAAAAGTGACAGCGGATCAATGGCTTTAGTTTAGTGCAGGGGTGTCCAAACATTTTAGTAAGAGGGCCACTTTAGTTAACCAGACTAGTCCAGAGGCCGACGTCACAGACTTCAAAATGGTCTTGACTAGAATCAGGCTGTTCTAAGGTTTAAAATGATCCGTAATGGAGATGAAGTTGGCTGAATGACAAATGTTTACCATCTCAGCAGCTCACAAGTCAAAGCAAAGGGCCACATGAAATGACACTGAGGGCTGCAATTGGTCCCCGGGCCTGAATTGGGACCCTAACCCCATGACAACAGCAAACAAATCCTCTTTCTCGATGCTAATAACAATTCCCAATGGATTTACAACGGACAGAATCTGAAATACTAAATCAATCCCACAAAATAACCAGCAATGTGTTACGGTTGGTTCATATGGCACCAACATCTGTGACATGTGAGAGCCATGTGAACAAACCCAGACTCTGAGGAGTACTGGGACTGGACTCCTGCTGGAGCCAGAGTCAGGACTAAACTTGGGGAGGCTGCAGTTCAGATTTATGCAGCTAAAATCTGGAACAGTCTTCCTGAAAATGTGAGACAGGCTTCTACCACAGTCCTCAAATGCAGGTTAAAAAGCGTTCTGTTTATGTGTGCATACAACTGAAGGATTATATATTTTTTATCTTTTATATTTTGTATGTACTGTGGTTATTTCTGATTTTAATGCTTTGTGTGGCCATTTCTATCTTGTTCTGTTCGGTGCTTTGAGTTGCCTTGTGTATGAACTGTGCTATACCGATAAACTTGTTACTTGCCTTGCCTTTTATCTGCATTATTCAACTGCATTGCAAATCCAACATGTAAAATCTCTCGCTACCATATTGCCTTCACCCCCCCCACAGTCAGATTGTACAATAAGTCACTTTAATGCCCTGCACAAGGAAAAACTCGCACTGCTTGACTGCTATAGTCGCTTTTAATTTGCACAAAAGATACTATATTTTTAACCTTTTTAATGTTTCCTGTTTTTTTTGCACAACTAGAGTGATTCTATTTAGGCCAAATGTGACATTTTAATTTGTAAGATCAATAAAGTTTATTTTATCTTATCTGTAATTGAATGAGGATAAAAGCTTACTCATAATTAAACTAGCTTCATGTACTGACTGTGGCTTTACTTTATTTACAGAAACAAAGTTTACAACTACACTGAGTCTGTGTCCAATGTGTGTCCAGTGTGTGTCCAGTGTGTGTACAGTGTGTGTCAAGTGTGTGTACAGTGTGTGTACAGTGTGTGTCCAGTGTGTGTAGAGTGTGTGTCCAGTGTGTATCCAGTGTGTGTCCAGTGTGTGTACAGTGTGTGTCCAGTGTGTGTCCAGTGTGTGTAGAGTGTGTGTCCAGTGTGTATCCAGTGTGTGTACAGTGTGTGTCCAGTGTGTGTCCAGTGTGTGTAGAGTGTGTGTCCAGTGTGTATCCAGTGTGTGTACAGTGTGTATCCAGTGTGTGTCCGGTGTGTGTACAGTGTGAGTCCAGTGTGTATCCAGTGTGTATCCAGTGTGTGTCCAGCATGTGTCCAGTGTGTGTCCAGTGTGTGTAGAGAGTGTGTCTGCCTCTGTGCCCTGAGCTCTGGACTCCGCAGACCTGACATCGATCGTCCTTTTTGGCCTTGAACCTGAATGTCACACGGCAAACGCACACACGGCAAACGCACACACGGCAAACGCACACACGGCAAACGCACACACGGCAAACGCACACACGGCAAACGCACACATGGCAAACGCACACATGGCAAACGCACACATGGCTTGTGGCTACAGGGAGAAAAACAAGTTTAAAACATATTCAGTCTCTTTGTTTAAGTTGGAGATTTTAAGACTTGTTTCCTTATACGGCATTTCTTGTGTTCGAACTCTTTGATTCTCTAATCTTTTGTTGGTGAATTGACAACTTTGTCCTTTTGTAATATCTGCTGTTGTGATTTATGGAAAAATAACATTTCAATTTGATTTTATGTACTTTCCGTCAACAAAGCCAGTATGTCGACGTTGGATTTGTTCCCGACATTTTACTTTTACCACGCTCTTTCTGTTTGGACAAGCAACACGCGGTCTCTATGAGAAAATAAAGTTAGGTACCGCAGCTTTAATAGCTAATGAGTTGATTAAATTTTTTTTAATCAAACTTATTATAGAAACACAAGCTTATAGATTTTATACTCAATTTTTGCATCCTTATTATGCTAAAGTCAGATATTTTAGATTTATTACGAAACATAAAGGATCTCTTTGTCCCACAGTGGGGAAATGTCAGTGTTGCATCACCGGTTAGAGAACAGTAGGAATGAGGAGAACACAGCACAAGACAAATGAACAACAACTCTATACTAAATAAAATAAAAATCTCTAATTCTACTGTAGCATGAGGAAGAACAAAAAACATATAAGTCGTACAAAAAATAAGTTGTAAATAATTTGTAAAAAAAAAATATATATTCGTATCCAAGTTATAGCCGTGGAAAAGTCTGTCATTCAACCAAATATCTCACGACCCAAAACGGTGGGATTGAAATTCACAAAGTCAGCAGTAACATGGTCCAGGCCGTCGATCTGAGCACACATACAGGAGGCAGCTCATATTGACGCCCAGAGAGTGAGCGCCATGAATTATTAATGTGGCCATGTCTTTTCGGATCAACTGCAGAGGGGCAGAACGTCACCTGGGAGGAATGGGATGATCCTCTTCTTGGGGTCTTTCTGCCCTCCCTCGATCGGGAACTTGTCCAAGATCTGCATCTGCAAGAGACAAGACAAGACAGAGGTGAGGATCTGATCGGCCGTGCAAGACCAGAAAACAGAATTTTCTGTTTCAGAATTTTTTTTTTTGCACACTGCAGACCTGTTTTAAAATGTGGCATCAACCCAGGACAATGGTGGGAAAAGTTGGCGTGTTGTTTAGGTGTTAATTTTTTTACCGTGGGGAAAATATGTGTCAAAATAGAGTCAAAACAAACGGTGCATCCAGGACCCCAGGGAATAGCATTATTATTAAACTGCATTAAAGACACTAGGTCCAGATGGAAAAGCAACACAAAAATAATCATAAAACATGAAAATAAACACAAATATTTACAGCAGACTACTGTACCAGTGACGGCACCGTTCGGACTGATCTCAATTATAGTTATAATCAATGGTGTAGGTTTGGTTCCAATCTTGGTGGGGACATTCACTACGACCTGAGTCTACACCCATTGACACGGGGTCCAGAGTTTCTCCCCCAGAATTTGTTGTGTAATCACACACTATATTTGCAATAGTGTGTTGCCTTCTATACTAAACTCAGCTGTAGACTGAATGAGAAGCAGTTATGTATGTTAACAGAAGATTAATCATCACAATTCATAATTTGCTATTACTTGTGCTTTCTCTTACTTACTTTCCAACTGTTAAAAAAGCTCCTGATATCTTTTATCTTATTTGTGGAGGTGGCATTTTTTCTAAATTATATAAGAAGGTATAGACAATCAAAAACAGACATTCATATACATGAACTGCAGAATCATTTATATAACTTGGCCAATGTCAAAAGTTACATAGTATTTCTCAATACAATGAGTTAACAAGAGTTTGGCAATAAGTAACAGTGTGGATTTTTCTATATTTTCTTTTTTTTATTCCACTATCTACCCAAAAAGGCAAGTAATGACTCACAGGGCTCTCAAGTATGCAAAATAAAAACTTAAATGACCTGTTGTGGTGTGTTTTGCGCACAACCAGCATGCATCGTTAACGCAATGGAAAATTTACGTATCCGAGCTTTAATTTCGGGAGCGCTGGTTGCGCTTTGGGAAGAGTCAGGGGAGAGACATGTCAGAGACACAGGGGAGAAACGGGGGAGATACGAGGGAGACCCGCACTTGCAACATGGTTCTGTCTGCATATGGTTCGAGCTCGGTACCATGTTAGAGCTGTGCTTTCACTGAGCGCCGCGGCTGTCATTACAAAGCGGCAGCAGCTGCACCAGGACGTGCACATTCGAGTGCATCGCTTGAATGTGCTTAGAGCAAATAACAGCAAGTGCCCGCTGTCACACATTTCACAGAAATTACATTATCAGCAGATAAAGGTTGTAAATCGTGGATCCGTGGAATATTTTCATCCCTAGTTTATCCTGATTCACACAACACACCCACTTATACATTTTGGATAGTAAGAGCACAATAAGTATTTTTTCAGCCTTTCAACCAACCTGTTTTTTATTGGAGCCAGTTCTGTTCTGTCTCTGTGCCGTGTGAGCTCCTCGGAACATTAAACAGTGCGCTGACAGATTAGAAATAACGTAAGTACTTTGAATCAGGCCCGTCGGAAGGGCTGTGCGACCTGTGCCGTCGCACAGGGCCTCGCACCACACAGGGCCTCGCAATCCTTCCTTTTTTTATTTTTTTATTAAATAAATATACTAGTTCAAGAGTCCCCAAAGGGCGGACTGCGCTCCAAATTCGGACCCCTAATCCCCTTTCTCTGGACCTCTGATTTCTTTTGTTCAAAAGTACATTATTACAAGTGAAGTCAAATTTTCACCAAAAGCAATTTGTAAACAGGCAGGCGCGAGGGCAGCTATCTACGCAGCGGGTCCTCCGAAAAAAAACTTTACGGAGCTGTCAGATAACTTTAGCAGTGTCTGAGTGAAGAAAGTAACGGGAATGAGCCCAGTGTACGGAGAGATGGATACTCGCGTCTTCCGTATGAGGAGGAGGAGAGAGGAGTGTGACCAAAGGAGGAAGAGGAGGAGCTGCGAAACAGGTGTGTGAGCGCTGTTATTGTCAATGTTGAGCCCGGATATCCACATCAAAAACATATTATAAAAGCATTAGCAAACACTGTATGTCCAGCGTTCATGCTACTGTGAGTGCAGTGGATTTTGGGCATAAAAATGTGGTCAGAGTGTGTGGTGGAGGAGCAGGAGCATGTAGGTTGTGGTCAGAGTGTGTGGTGGAGGAGCAGGAGCATGTAGGTTGTGGTCAGAGTGTGTGGTGGAGGAGCAGGAGCATGTAGGTTGTGGTCAGAGTGTGTGGTGGAGGAGATTGAGAAGGAGTGTATGTTGTTGTGGTCAGAGTGTGGAGGAGGAGGAGCAGGAGAAGGAGCGTATGTTGTGAGTGTGGAGGCATGGCAAAAACGTTATTTGATGAGGAAAAAAATAACAAATATTGACTCGGCCTCATAGCCATTTTGGCGCATTTTGCCGTAATCTAACAATTAGAAAAAGAAGAAGACTCCTTTTGGTTCAATCTTTTGAGTTGCTGCCATTTTGCCACAGGACGAAAGAGCCATGTCAGCTAAAAAGACCGCGACCAATATACCAATGCCAAGCGCGGTAACAGTTTGTGTGTGGGTGCGTGCGTGTGTGCGTGCGATGCTGCATTGGAGCGAGGACACACGTCTGCGCGCGTGCTGATCTCTTCACGCACAGCGCGAGGCGGTGCTGAATTCATGTCAAATATTATAACATGAAAAACTTTCCTGAGATCTGGGAAAAAGGTGTCAGGGCAGGGCCTCGCGTTTCAAGTTCGCACAGGGCCTCGCACCCCCCTTGCGACAGGCCTGCTTTGAATGGTAATAGATCTACAGTACTTTCCTCTGATTACTCACGTGCTACAACGCTCAGGGAACGAAAAAAAACCCTTGCTTCACGCTGGCTAACTTTTAAAAATTAAACAGTCGCTCAGTGCTTCAGTTTGGCGCTGAAGAAGACAGCCAATCACTGCAGAGAACGGAACGGGTCACGTGCTGCTGCTGCTGCTGTTGCTCTGGAGGCGAGGAGGAGGCGCGACGTATGCACAAACGGAAGACATGTGTCCCGGACCGTCCGGGTCACGGGCAGTGTTGGGTGTAACGCGTTACTAAGTAACGCGTTACTGTAACGAAATTACAATTTGAGTAACGTAGTAGTGTAACGCGTTATTATGAAAATACGTTTCATTGTATTACAGTTACTACCTAAATACTTCGTTACCGGCGGCACCGGCCTCGGGAAAGCAGGGGAGAACTGCACTACCGCTCCATGCGTGCCTGCGTGCTTACGTCACGCTGCGCACATGAGCGAGATTGTTTGTAAAGCAACATGGCAGAGTCAGAGGAGAAGAGTAAGAGTTCTTTTTACCGGTGGAGATATGCACACTATTTCAACTACATCAGTCAAAAAGATAAAAACGTTGTCGTGGAGTGCAAGCTTTGCGCGGGCAGCAAGCGATTGTCCACCGCAGCCAACTCATCCTCGAACCTTTTAAAACACTTGCAGCGTCAACACTCAACTGTTAAGCTAGTCGCTAAAGAGCGTCGCAGCGAAGCCGCCGCCGCCTCCTCCTCCTCCTCCTCCTCCTCCTCCGACAGCACAACACCAACACGATATAATAAGCAAGCTCGACTTGAATTACGCTGTCAGGTAACCTCAGTCGCCGTCTTTCAGAAACATTTTACATTTTTATGTTATGCCATTTGAGCCAGTTTTGATTTGTTGTTGACCTTTATTTAAATGGCTTTAATAAAGCAAACATACAAACTTGATTCTGTTCTCTTTTTTGTGACACGAAGTAATCCAAAAGTAATGTAACTTAGTTACTTTCTTGGGGCTGTAACTAAGTAATAGTAAGTAAGTAAGTAAGTATTTATTTATATACCGCCTTTTCACTGCAGATCTGAGTCTCAAAGCGGTTTACAATTGTTAATTTTTTTTTTTTTTTTTTTTTTGGGCATTTGTCTCTCACTCCACACAGAGATGGGAGCGCGGTCGCCAGTACAGGAGGCGCATGCTAGAACTATTGGACATATTTTTAGTGGTAGGGGAAACCGGAGTACCCAGAGGAAACCTACGCAGACACGGGGAGAACATGCAAACTCCACTCAGAAAGGCCCTGGTCCGACCGGGATTCGAACCCAGGACCTTCTTGCTGAGAGGCGAGAGTGCTATCCACTCAGCCACCGTGCCGCCCTAATGTAACTACTGTAATGTAACTGTAATGTAACTGTAATGTAACTAATTACTTTTTTTAGAAGTAACTAGTAATTTGTAACTAATTACATTTTCAAAGTAACTTACCCAACACTGGTCACGGGACATCATGTCATTTTGGTGGGGACTTTTTAGTCCTCACCAAATATTGGTGGGGACATGTCCCCATGGTCCCCACGCAAACCTACGCCCTTGGTTATAATGGATTCTCTTTTATAATGGACAACGAAAAGCTTGTCATCTGCATGGTGCAATATCATACAACATCTTTCTTACAAGGACAACTTTATAAAGGAAAGAGCAGCACATGCAAAAGCCACAAGCCAAGAGTTCCACTTACACGGGCATTGACAGGAGTGAAAAAAATGTAACACTTAAATGTATATATGAATGTACGTATGTATGTTTCATGTGTGTGATTGCTGTAATTGATTACTGTTTATTAGCTTGAAAAAAATCCAACCAATCAATAAATATTACACTGTCATTATGCAAAGTACTGTCCGAAGATTTATCACCCTTTTTATTGCTTTGTTTTTCTTGTGGTTCTTTTTGACAAGTTTGATGTTTTACCTTGTTTACTTGTCTTTCAAAACAACCACAAAAAAACTCAAGACAAAATTCTTTATTGCGGTCTAAATTATCTGGTCTGCTCCAAACAGACTAGGTCTCAAGGTGGGTTAAACGGCGGGTTGTTTTGTCACACCAGCCCAGCAAGGGGCAACTTTAAGTTTTTTCAGTGGGAATAAACCTTGATTTTTTGTTATTTTTATTTTTATGTAAT